GCGCGATAAGTTGTCCTATCGCGCGATAAGTTGTCCTATCGCGCGATAAGTTGTCCTATAGCGCGATAAGTTGTCCTATCGCGCGATAAGTTGTCCTATCGCGCGATAAGTTGTTCTATCGCGCGATAAGTTGTTCTATCGCGCGATAAGTTGTTCTATCGCGCGATAAGTTGTTCTATCGCGCGATAAGTTGTTCTATCGCGCGATAAGTTGTTCTAACGCGCGATAATGTTGATTGCAATTTTTTTGGAATGAATGGACTTAGCAAAACTTATCGCGCGATAAAGTCATGAAAATTTTTGTAGGTGGATGGCCCTTGAGAGCCACCGTACATAACTCCTTTTCTCTCAAATCATAGCCCAGAGAGCGATAGGAAACACGCGTGCTAATGAAAGGGGACGCGAACGTCAAGGAGCGCGAACGGCGAGCAAAAGAGATAAAAAAGGAACCGCTGTACGCAAAACATAACGACTCAGCCAGGTACCTGTCCACCCAGAGTACAGCTGACTGATAACTATGTCTTCCAAAAAATGAAGGGAAGACATGAAAAATTACCAGATCAACAAAAGTCGTGAATAACTGAGATCCATTTAGGCATGACGTCTCAGAGGCTTTACAAATCTTCACCTTTGAAAAATTAGTATTCTTCCGAAAATGAATATTGGCCATTAAATTTAGAGAAAATAAAAAAGAAGAAGAATGCAAAGAAGACGACTTTGGTGTCTTTCCTACCTGGTGTATCTGTGGCGCTCTTGGATTACCTCCCACATCAAAGATATAGATCCGACCGGAGATTAACGAAGGCATGATAAGGCGGTTCCTCTTCTTCTTTGCGTCACCAAAACAACTACACAATGAAAGCAGACTTAACAAACAACTGTAAAAGGCTGCGCGGTCATAAACTACACTGAAAAAACATTACGTACAACTTAAATCCCACAATGACAACACCTCTTTTTATCTCAAAGGTCTTCGATTCTGTTCTCTCAAACGGACTTGACAACTGCGTTTCCCAAAAGTTCCTCAATGTAGAAACATATGGGACAGCATCTGTGAGTGATATTTTCTGAGATTTTGTAAATTAATGGCTTATGAAGAAAGAATCGACACCATGACTAATACTACTAATAATGATAATAGTAATAACGATAATGATAATAATAGTAAAAATAATAACAATAACAATAATAATAATAATGATTATAATAATAATAATGATTATAATAATAATAATAATAACAACAGACAGGTCATCATTATCTTTATCAATCAATTAATTCTTTTTGAGTAAAGTAGATTTTTCATCCCCGACTGTGGTCATTGATTTATTTCAACTGTTGATCTCTGTGGAATAGGGATTACACACAAATTTTTTCAGAGTTTCACCAAGTAACAGGCACTTGATTAGCCTGGCAAATCTTAGAATGGCACAAGTGAATGAGAAGACATGCTCACATCTTTTCCTCTTCGTTTCTCCAACCTAAACCCTTTGCACCCTAACACTAGTATGCATATTCTCCATACTGTTCTCTGTACATTTCCTGTGGTGCTGACAAGGAGAATTTATTTACAAATCAAGAGCTTGTTTAGTTCGTGATCATTTCCTTTATTCTCCTGACCTTAATGTGTGATTCAGGGGTAATATTGTAAGGAGAAATTAGATCATGCTAGTCACTCTGAGTAGCCAAAGAGTTAAGGGGTAAGGGGCTGTGTTCTATGACTTTCTGGGGCTTTCTGGGGACAAATATTTTACTGAGGAGAGTTCAAATTACTATACCAGCACCTGCTTGCTACACATGCTGTCTCAAATGTTCCATACTATAGTAAGACTATATAATTTGAATATATCAACAAAGTTGAAAAGGTAAATTGGCCACTGTTATGATTATAAAAGCTGATGTTTCGAGCGTCAGCCCTGCATTGGAGCGAATGGCTAACGCTTGAAACATCAGCTTTTATAATTGTAACGGTGGTCAATTCACCATTTCAACTTTGTTGATATATTCAAATTAGTTCGTTACCCCCACCGACGCAGCCCCAAACAGTTTCTTTAGAAACTATCAGCCTTTATTCATATAGTAAGACTAACCTACTACAGGCATTCCATCCACTGTGATGTAATTCGTCTCCTTTGTAAGGTACTGGCAGACGATGGATAACCTGCACATGCGTATACCACAGTGACAAAATGTTTTAATAAGACATCTGTTCATAGTTCTCTATCAGCTGTGGCCTGGCAGTTAATGCTTGTTCTAGTTTACTCAGAGCTTGACATACCAGAACATCATTGTATGATTTATAAAAAGTATAGGAAATCAAAATGATACTCTTCAGTAGGCCCTAGGAATCTTGCGATACAATCCAGTCTTGCATTGAGGATATCCTGCTACTCCTGGGGGCATCAGCAGAACTTTTCTATGAGAAAGGGTGGTATAGGGGGGTAGGGTAGGGTGCAGGTGGGGTAGGGTTGGGTGGAGTGGTGCAAAGGGCTACAAAAGGATTTTGTTGGAGCATACCAGGATTTTCTGCTATAGGGAGAAAATGATAACTTTTTCAAAGTAAGGGAGGGAGGTTTACATTCATCCAAAGACTACTTGAAAATCTCATTTTCAGTCTCCGGTCATTCAAGAGAACATAAACCAGGCTACTTCTTGTCAAGCACATATTCTCTAGTACCTGAATCCCACTATTGGTACTCAAATGTGCTTTTCACAACCTGTAGGTCCGGGTTATAGGCTTATATCGCATTACCTTTGAGTAGGTTGCAGAGCGAGGATCAACGTCAACAGTAGCAAGGTAGTCGGATTTGTCCAGCCCAGTATTTGTGAGGATACATGGCAGGTATACAATTGTCTCCTTTGGACCTTTCATGGCATCTAAGGGAGTAGCATACCCAGGCCCACACTCACAGTGTCCTCCTGCTGTGGAGACAAAAGCAAGGTAGTAAACACAAAAAAAGAAAAGTTGAATTGAATTTTTAAAAACTTCAGAGTTCTTTGAATTTAGTTAAGAAAGCAATTGCACATAAATTATTTCTAAGGAAGTGGCCTTCCCTTATAAAAAATTTCTGTACCACCTGCCACGTTTTTGCCCGATGTGACACAGCCAGATCAGCAGAGGAATACTTCCGAGTGATATTTCAACTACGCCGAATTTTCATACCTGTTATGGCCCATCATAACTCAACTACGCCGTATTTTCATACTTGTTATGGCCCATCATAACTCCATTGTAACGCAACGATCTAGTCATATTGCGTGACAGTTAAAAAACGAACCGCACGAACTCGTAAAAACAAGTTTCAACTTCAGAAGTAGTGTCTAAATAATACTTGATGTTCAAAACAAAGAATAAACAGTTCTGTCGTTACAATAAGCTTTTGATAAATAAGTTTCTGCAAGCAGAGCATCGACAAACTTACAAACTGAAAGTGCTAGAAACTGAATATTTATTAAACGTGGTTGACCTGATAAGGTTTACCGAGAAATTAGTTCCGTTCATGATACCTCCTCTCTCGAAAACTACGCATCTTGTCTCAGCCAAGTTTAAGTTCGACTCAGTTGATAAACACATAACCAATACGAGTAGATATAGAATCATTCCGATTATTGTCGCTGCGCATTAAATAGACTTAGTTCAGGACTCGATTTGCTCTGACGATGGGATAACGCTCGAAACGTCTGCTTTTTAACTCGTTACGGTGGCCAATTTACAATGTTAATTTAGTTGATTTAACCCAATAACCTTGTTACCGACGCAGCACCACAGTTTCTTTAGAAACTGTCAGCCTTTATTAGTTCAGAACTGCTTGCATTATACATGCATAATCCACACAGCTATTTCAGTCGAGTGAAATACTTCAGAATTATTTAAGATCTGAAAAATCTATTCGATGCTTACCTGCAGTTGCCATTTTTGACAGACCAAGCTTCGTCGCACCGATGTAGTGAATTTTATACTAGAGGCAAATATTAATATTTGCGCAATGATTCAGCTTAAATAAAGCAAAGTCAGTTATTGGTTCTCTCACTGGATGTCACATAACACAAGCCGTCACTCAAACTGGATTAGTAAATTTAGACACTCCGCAAAGCGTGCCGCGAGGCAGGAACTGGCTAAGGTTGAGAAATCTACCTCTTCTACGATGCCATCAAGGGTGCAAGAGTGACCTGTAACAATCTGAGTAATTGCTGTTGATTTATTTTGTCTTCTTTTGTTCCACGCGTCGAGAAAACAAGTTATTTTTAAAATTTAATAAATAATTCTGAAAAGTATTTCACTCGACTGAAATAGCTGTGCGGTTACGGTTGTGTTAAAACGCGTCCCTCGTGAGCAGTTGATCATCTTTCGCAGGGGTCGAGTTTGAACAATCATGAATTGGCAGAGTCGTATTCTGTTTAAACACAGGTGGTGTGCGCTCTCTGATTGCGTTGCATCGTGGTCGTAAAACAAAAGCTGAGTCATTTGCATCTTGATGCGTTAGAGTGATCTTCACTGGTGGAAGCAAGATAGCGTGAATATAGGTGGATTGTAATGGGGATTTACTGTCTGTTGCCGTTCCTTCGAAAGTTAAAATGTTTGAGGGGCCTGCGCGACTACCGTCATTCCTTCGTGGAGAATTCGTTCTTAGGAGGAGGCAACTGACGTTATTAAGAAAGATTCCAAACTGCAATCTGCCTAAGAATCTCGACATAAATGGCAACAGTTACAATCACAACCGATGGCTGGATGAATCATTTCAAAGTCAGAAATTATATTCATAGACGCGAGTTATTTAACAAGGAATTGACCCTTGACATGCAAACGCATATTAAAGAGACAAAGACCTTGTAATACACGAAATTTTTCCACCAAGCGTAACTACGAGATTTGTGAAAGGAGAAGTCCCACGCCTCCTAAGAACGAATTTGTCGCGCTCCACGTTTAGTAAAAACGTACAGAGTTCAAAATACCCTTCGAGTATAGAGGAAACCTAGATGAGGGTTTTGAGAAACGTATCTCTGGAGTTATTTCTGCAGGAGATAAGTATACTGTAAAACAAAAAAAATTGTGCGCGCACAAAAGAAAATATTGCTTTATGTAAAACAATCTCATCCGGCTTTGTCAAACCTCAAGAACATACAGATGGGGAAATGACACCTCAAAACTGACCCTTATTATCACACCGCGAAGGAAAGTGATTAAGAGAAATCCTAATAAGAGCTAAACGTTTAGGGTAGAAGATTTTAAAGCGCTAGCGAATGGTAGGAGACGCACAGGCCAATCAACACCTCTCAACGCCGACTGTCTATATGCTTTCTGGCTTTCCTGCGTGTCGCCTCACGCAAGGTGGAGGTTTTCATGGATCAAGTGACTCTTTTCGTTGCTCTAATTAAACTGTCCTTTTTTCACTGATCAATATAGAAGATTTACCACACAACACTCGCGATTAGTTCATTTTCCTTCACTTAAGAAAGTAGATTTACAACACGATTGAGTACATATAACGGTCTATAATGAATGTCCTTGCAGTAGTAACGCTGTGTAACGCAACACACTAAACGCAACAATGGGCCTTTTCGCTCCATAAAAAGGTCTCAAACACTATCACGTAAAATGCATAAAACATTGTGCCGTTGGAGCGCGTTCGAGTGCGTTTGGTCAGAGCTATTGAAGAAGGATCAAAGGGGCCATACAAATCTTTGACAGGGTTCTAACTACGACGTGCAACGAATTTGACCTTCTCGAAGATAGATACTTTAAACAAGCGAATTCTTAGAGTTATCTTGCAGGATTATAATTCTCCCTATGACTCTCTACTTAGCAAAGTTAACTCCAAATCTCTGTATAAGAGACGCCTTCAGTCTTTCTTAATTATATTGTACAAGAGCTTGTTTTTTAACTGTTATCCAGGCTATCTAAGGAATATGTTTAGTTTCCGGTCTGTATCCTATAATCTACGCGGAAATTATATTTTGTCTCTACCGTCTACAAAAACTACTACTTTTGGTCTTGACTCCTTTTCATATATGGCTTCAAAACTATGGAACTCTCTTCCGGACTCTTTTAGAACGTCTGACTTTTCTGAAAACAAGCGCAAGATTCTACAGTATGACTCTTTCTCATAGTTAAATTTTAGAATGTTACAATTTTACATTTTAGTAGTATTTAGAATTAGACTTGTAACTCGAAGATACTAGCTTATCCTTTAGCTACTCCAAATTCGAGATTAAATAAAGTATATGTATGTATGTATGAAAACCGGTCTCAACTTACACGCTAAAAAAACAGTGCTTGCGTTTGTCCTTGAGAACGATAGAATACGCGAAAAATACTTCTACATTTTAAGAATATATCAAATCACGTTTTCCCGTAGTGAAAGGAAAAAGAAACGGGCTAACTTTACGGAATATTCAGTAAAAATCTGCCGATTTCCGCCGCTTTTATCGCCATATTGAAAATAACGTTTCCACAATGCAATGCAATCGGAGTGCGCACACCGCAGATGAGGAATGAATTTCATCTTCTGGATATAAAGGTGCGGAAGGCGTTTGAGGAAATCTGTCAGACGTGTTTTCCAGCGGAGTCCTTGCGATCTCATGCCAGTGCTGCAACCCTCACCCACTCTGTTTCGTTCAGTTTGTGACGTTCTTTTTCCCATGGGTCAATTGCGGCCAATCCATAGTCTTGTTATCATTCTATAAATTTTCATTGAAAGAGAAGAAATCCACATGCTATTAAGTAGTAAATTCCGAAGAGGTGATATTTTTCAAAAAACATTTCGTTTTTGAATGTAGTGTCGATTTTTGTTTCCCGATGAAAGGCCCTGGGAACGAGGTTACGTATGTTTCTTAAACCCAAATTTAAGCACTGCAGAAAACTTACTGTAAGTTAAGCTTTTATTTGACTGATCAGTATTTAATTCTATGTACATCAGTGTCTATACGATTGTCAGAAAAAATGCCTTTACAATGAGATCTGAAAGACCTACTAGGTTACCATTATCACCAAAACACAGCTCTCGCTAAATTGCAAATTAAACAGCCAAGGTTGTCCGAGTGTTCATTATACATCGCGATAAATGGAGTGAGATGCATTCACTCGTTCTTTAAAAGTTGAGCACTTGATAGCTAATATAATAAGAGCAGAGAGAAGTCTGGGAGAAAGAGCGTTGCTTTAGGAGTCCTCGATGATGAACGAAGCAGTGCAAAAGCAGTGTCTGGGTGATGACGTTAATAACTTGCGGCGATTTCTATTCTAAGTAGTAACCAGTAATATTCATAAAAATATCATCTAAAATGTTTAGTTGCCTAGTGAAATGTAAAATGGATAGATTAGTAAACGCCTATTTCTTCTGAGGAATACCAAGAATAACACAGACCTCATGGCGCGATGAAAATGCTGTTGAAATCATTCAGTGTAGGAGAAGGAATGAGGAAAACATCACGAGGTTGTTCTGAACTTGGAACGCCGCACATAAGATATGTAACCTTGATGCTAACCCCTGGCCTCATCAGAAGAGGGTAGCTTACATCACACTAAGATGGAAAGTAGGACGATACGGGATTCCTTTTTTATTTACAACTTTAAAGCAGAATTCTTCTATAAGACTTCCTGAATCGAACTCGAGGATGGCAATACGACATATGTATATCTAATTATCAAATCAGCATTTAGGTACAAAAAGCAAGAATTGACTCTGAGGTGTGGAGAATATCTGACTGTGATGAAGACTTTGACCATCGCATGGCAATCTTCGACTGGTTATCAAGTTAAGCTCTTAACATAACATAAGCTACTTGCTGACAAGCTCTTTTTCTTGCGTTATATACGCCATGGAGCCACGCACAGGAGAAAAAAGAACGGAAAAACAAACAAACAAACAAAAAACAAACAAAACAAAAAACTATCAACCTAGTAGACTCAGTTCGAGCCGCGTAAGAAAGATAGCAGTGGTAAATGGTTCGCATGGACGAAGTCGCTTTTTGTAGATTTTCGTTTTTCTCTCTCTTATTCTAAACTTATTTTGCTGTATTTAGTACTTAATCTGTAAATTACATAAAACTCTGATAGCTTTGTTCCATTAAAAACTTTGTTCCTTGTTTACTCTTGTCACGCATTTAAGGAGGGTGGATCTCCATGGTCCTTTGGTTCATAGCCGTTCAGTGGTCCACATGGCATTCCTCGGCCTTCGCCGTTATAGGCCCCTTTTAGAGCAATGAAATATGATATCAGTTGTTGCTAACTGATACATCAGATGTTACTCCTAAACTAAGAGTAGGAAAATGCATTTGAATAAAACTGGTCATGAAAATTTCGAACATCCCTTTAAACCTTCAACTTACAACATCAAACGTGAAAGAAAGATTTGGAAGGAATTGTGTAACAGAGAAAACTGATAATAATTCATAGGTCGGTCGATTAGTTAGTCCGTCAATCTATCTCTTTCGTCCGACAAGGCGATATTTCCATCACAAACTATTCACAATAGACGACGAACAAAACGGTTTGCTACGAAACTGAACTTCCGCCAAGTTGGCGACTTGACTAAACTCCCACCCACCTCTTGACGACCTTCTTCCTCGTCTGCCTCTCCCACGCCCTGCTGCTGCCCCTGAGGTGTCAAAGGGTTTGTCCACTCCCGGTACAGCTCTTTTCTCCGGGGCTTCCTCTTCACCTTTCTCCTCTTCGCGCCTTTTAAGACAAGCTGCCTTGGGGTTGAGATTTCGCTCTAAGAAAAGCCGAAAATGTTTTAAATGGTTAAACTGCCAGCCGGTGGAGATTACAGTTCATTGCTGCTTCAAGGGCTTTGATCAAAAGGGCTTAGTTTGGTTTCATAATTATCTGACTCATAGGTAAAGGAAAACCTCATCCTCACCAAGCCCTAAACCTATCCTCTTTCTCCGTTCCAGAACAAAGAAGACAACAAGAAATCACTCGCAGCTTACCTCGTACTTGCGATTCTAAACTTGTGATAACTGATACTGCTTGGTGAAGGATTACAAGCTGTGGGACAAAGCCATATGTGAGAAAATTAACGATCATAACGATACACACTTACAACAGGGGGGGTATGATTACAAGCTGAGGTGCTAGTGAAAGCATTTGCAAATTCACGCTGCATATGTTATTCGTTCCCATCAGTCAAGGCCTTTACGAGATCTATATAACAAACAAAGAAGCCTCCTTAACACAGTGGTAGTATCAGTCCTGGAGATCAAGGGCATCTTGGAGAGTGACATGCAACGTTCAATTACTCTGTGACATGGTCACTGAATAAAAACTGACCAGAAACTTGCAAAGGGAGATGACAGAAAGAGTCAACCTTTGGAAGTGACAAAATTTGTCTTTTTTGTTACCTTGGTCTGGGGTTTGTCGCTCTCTAAATGCAATTGACACATTCTGCCCAATTCTTTGAAGGCACCGTTGATGTCTCGAACCCTCATCCTGTAATAAAGAGTTTTGTGGGGAGTAAGCTTAGAATCTCACCTTAGTCTGTTTAGTATTAGAGTTGGATTTGTCACCCTGTAAATGCATCATACACATTCTTCCCAATTCTTTGAAGGCTCCGTTTATGTCTCGAACTCTCAACCTGTTAAGGCAAGGTGCAGAGCACAAAATTGGACTGTTGAATATCAAATCGATCTGGGATCTTTTTTTTTTTTTCCCTGTCTCTTGCTGGGATTCTGGAGAGTCGCAATGGTTTGAGCCTTTTACGATCGACACTAGTTTGCGGTTATAAAAAATGTCGCCACCGGATTAAAAAGTCTCAGGTGAAAACGAAGTGGAGATTTCGAGAGCTTAACAACTTAAGTACTTCATGGAAGTGGACTCTCTCTCTACGTATAGTCTGACACAGTGCAGGGTCTGCTTAACGTTTTATTTTTGCATCATTCAGTGATTGTGAAAATGTTACTTAGAGCCCGTACGCACTTGGAAAATGTTTGTTTGGTTTGCGAAAAACTTTGTCTTCAGTTGCGTGAGACAAGTGCGCACAGTAATTTTTGGTGCTAAAAAATTTATCAAGCCTCAGGCATAGGCCACACTCGGTAAAAGTTTTCAACTTTTCTGAGAAAGAAGACCATAAAAAGAAAAACACTGGAAAACTGTTGCCTTCCAACCTCCTCCTGGGGACCAAATGTGTTAGGCATTGCAGATGTACCGAGTAAAAAGGCTTATCTTCAAAATGAAGACTTCAATAACAATCAGCCTAATTAATGATTCCATAAAAAAAGCATGGTGTAAGTATCCAGTACATAAAATTTCAAGCCAAAGCCATTAAGAATAATATCGAAATTTCAGTCTGAAATGGTCTACATTTAAAGACGCTTGAAAGACTGGAGTTATCATACACCCGCCTTACAAATTGCCCCTTTTTTTTTTGGTATGCTAAAATAGTAATAATTTTCTTAACTTGAACTAACCGTTGCTAAAAGAACCATTACAAGATCACCACACAAATTTACAGTATGCTGGTATTTAGTAGTTTCAGTTTTGGTCTCACAGACATGGGTTCAGCCATCTAGATAATAAGTAGTTAGAGATACCCGGGTATCAGACTCTAATGTACCACTGCTTCATCCTGCCTGTGCGTACGCTTTTTCAAGATCATACCTTTCCCTGGCATTATTTGCATATCTCCGCTCTTGTTCCCTGACAACCCTGACTCGGCCATTGTCATCAACACCACCATCTTCTGTCAATTTATCATCGTCATCATCATCATCATCATCCACAATCAAATCCCTCTTGTCTCTATCCTCCGCCAAATCACCATTAGTTTTCATATCTTGCTTTGATGACGAGTCTTTGTTGCTCTTTGCACTGTCACCCCCTGTGTCCATTTTAGAACCATCTGACAGAGCAGAAAGACAACCTACTTAATCCATGATTATAAGCAAACTAGAATTTTCCCTTACACATCCAACCTGCACGGAGATGATAATATTTTCATCTGTCCAGTGTGAATATATCAATATAGTTATGATGACCAGTCAAATCAGAGTAGCTTAGAAGGCTTTTTTCTCTTAATCAACATAACCAAGGTTGTGTTGAACTAAAAAAAAAGGATGGTACGTTGTCTTTGTAAAGTGAGAGCCTGAAGTAACATTTCTGGAATGTGCTTTTCAGTCGCCTTATGCACGTGAATTTTTTTGGGAGGTTGAATTGAAAAAAAATGTCTTCCTCTACGGCGAGTCAAATTTCTTACAACCACCTCGACATTTTTGTCAACAAATCAAATCGTTTCTTTTCAAAAAACCACTGCCAAAGAAAGAAATCCCGATTACTGATAGAATACATCGAAATGTACATACATCTTGATTCACTGGTCTCTGAGTTACTGGGGGACATTTGTGAACCTGCTCCTCTACTTGATAGGGTACTTGGTGACGCCATTCCTGGATCATCTTCCATTCCACTATGTCCACCACTCTAAAGAATAACAGAGTTTCATCAACAAAGATTATCAAGTGCAGTTTAGTTTTCAACAGTTTCTTGTAGCTTACTTATTGAGGAAATGACTGAGATATCCTAACTTTTCGTACTTTTACCGTTTTTCTTTGTAAATTACCAGTACAGGTAAAACAGATAATTCACTATTTTCGAGTTTATTTTTCTAACCTAACAACAGTTAAAGAACTTTCACTTCAACGCACACAATACTTTCAAATAATGTGACAACATTTCTCTAGCTGTTCAATTTTACTTTTAAGGCTAGCCTAGTGTAACTAGTTCAACTAATAATAGTACCTTTCTTAGACAAATTTACTTTCTAGGCTGTGTTATCATGTATCCCCTGCCTCACTATAACATCTTTGAGGGGAGGGCATCCCATGCACATTTAAATGTATACAGACTTTTGCTTTGAGATGATCTAGAATTGCAGGGGCCCACTCTCATAATCAAAAAAAAGCTGCAGCTATGGGAGTGTAGTTCAGAATCTTCTGGCTTACCATCTGATCCATGGCTACTGCTGAAGCACCACTACTTCCCACAGAGGCTGAATAACTTACACCCTGAACCCCACTTGCACTTGCTGCTACTGCTGCTGCAGCACTCAGCAAGCTTCCAGCTACTACTGGTGACATTCCAGGAGGGAGGCTACCTTCAGCGTGGGTGCGCAGAACATGGATAGCATCATCAAGCCTCTCCTCCATTCTGCTTTGCTGTAATGTAAAATCAACATGTCTAAGTAAGAACGAAAAAAGAGCGATCTCCTTGATGAGACACACTAATTTTGGGAAAGGTGTTAAGTAATGTATGCTAATGAATTAAACTTAACACAAATTCTTAAAAGTCATGTTTATCATTCTCGTGCCCTTTTTGTTTCTTCATTTTTTTACATTAGCATTTGTCTACCCTGATGAACCATTGTTTAATCACTTAACTTAAATGAACAAGATATTTTATCCTCTGATCTCTATGAGTGACTAGCACCTCATTTTTCACCCCTGAATAACACTTTGACCTCACAAGAAGAAAGGAAATGATTACTAAACTAAAGGAAATCTGAATTGTTAAACACATTCACCCAGTCAGCACTTCAGGAAATCCATAGAGAAAAGTATGGAGAATAGGGTGTTCATTAAGGATTGATCATTCACTCAGTGCTATGACAAACTCCAACTCACAAGAGAATGCAGATGACTCTCGTATGGAGGCGACGTTGGTTGATTAGCTCTTCCCCAGCTTGAAGAATGTCCTGAAGCTCCAGAGCCAGCTATAATAACATCAATTCAACATTGTTAAATCAAGGTAGATCTATTTTTCTTCTAAAGCCAAAGTGTTCTCCTTTACAAGCAGTAACCACTAAAACTAACTGACTGTAGAACCTCTATAATGATCACCTAAAGTTGCTACAGGAAAAAAGATTGCTCTACTAGCTTGAAAATTTCCCTTACCTGTCATAATTAAAATTAGGATGAACACTGCCTACCAATAAAATCTAAAGCAACTGTTGTGGAACAGGTATACAGTTAGACAGAATAAAACAAATTCAGAGGTTCATGACAGACCCCGGTGACTATTCACAATCTTCCTCAAGTGGCTTTTTTGCGATTGAATCACAATCTACATATACCATTTTCTTTAAACAAACTGCAGAAATGGTAAGGCTAGGTAACAACATCTTACCTGATAAAGGTCTGTCGCTCACAGTGGCCAATGGAGGAGGAGGAGATGCTACTGGTGTTGTTGGGTTTGATGAGTATGACCCACCATTGTCTGTTGGGTAAATCTTTGAGAACAATCAATCTTTTAAGACATATTTATAAACAGTTTCAGATTTAGAGACCACACTAAACACTAGAGAGTTTTAGATTCACGTTTGTTTCTTACAACGTGTAACCCCAAACCGCTACAAGTCACGTGACCAGACACAAGCTGTCACGTTTGCCGTTAGCGGTTCACGTTTCAACTTCGGAAAAGGCATTTTCAGGTAGGTCAACTCTCTCGGCGCTTTTCTTTTTCTTATTCGAACGTTCTTTGGTATGTCCCGTAAATATATGTCATTTGAGGTATTTTCTTTTTGGCCCATGCGTTTGGGACGGTAGAAAACCAAACTTTAGGCCACATTTTGTGTTTAAATGAAGGACTTTCATCCTGTCGGTAATTCAAGATGGCGGAGCACTACTTTTGTTTTGATAAAAAAGACGTGTAATGGTACTTCCGATTTTGGGACCAGTGAACATTTCTGTGCCGGTTTTTGTTAATTCGAAATCGAATGGAACCCTAGCACGAAAAACATATCGCTGTTTTTCTTGATTTTTCTCAAGTATGCTTCCATTTCGTTGGCCGCTTGTGGAACAAGACTTACATTTGGCGAGACAAGCAAGTTACCACAGACCCGAACAACCGGCCGAGTGGGAAAAAAGTTGCTCAAAGACTCAGTGAAGCCTTCAGTGATGATGGAAACTTCGTTAAACGGAAGGGAGGAGGTTGCAGGGAGCGAATGGAGCGCATGCTTCAAAAACGTAGGGCCGAAGATGTAAGATCCGTTGATGAGGTCGGTTGATTAATTACTCCTACCTTCAAACCGCTAACTGCGGTTTAAGGTTCGCGGTTAACACACCAAACGTGAATCTAAAACTCTCTACTATCTTTTGACAATCACAACTTAGCAAGCAGCAAATTATTCTTTCAGCTTTCCTAAGTAAATTGTAAGGCTGTTTAAATTACATCCTCAAACAGGATTGTCCACTTACAGATGCTAGGGCCTTCCCTAGTGTGTCTCCAGTTTGTGAACCAGATGTGGGTGCCCTAGAGCTGTGACTGGCTGCAATAAAAAAGTAACAATTTGATATATCACAAGAACGGAAAAAAGGAAAACAATATGGTGCCCTGAATCCACACGAAGAAGTGCACCACTAGCAAAAAAGTTTTTTTGCCTTTCTTTAAACTTAAATATTCACTTCACAGAGGCCCTCCTGTACAGATTTTTTGTCAGGAAATTTTTTAATTACTAAAGCAACCACAAGCCAATCTACAATATTATACCTCCACTGCCCCCTTCCCAAAATTCCTTCAATAGCAGGGACCCTCCCTTTGAAAGCAGGAAAAACATGGCTCTGTTAGTTGGGAAAATTAATTGAATGATCATCTTTAAGTAGTTGGAAAAAAAGATCATTCTCTTTTTGCAGCATACTTTTAAGTACAAGTTCCGAGGAAATGACAACTAGGACTATAAAAAGAAATCAGCTGTTCCTAAAAAACTTGAGCTCTCTTGCTTGAATTATGGTACATTTTCAACTGAAGGATTACAGGGCTCGACACTAACAGTGGCCCACTAGCCAGAGACTAGTAGAAATTCGATTTTGGCTGGCAGTTTTTGATTTCCACTAACCAGTTTGGCTAGTAAACAAACTGACATTGTCGTACCATCTAAGGTTTCATGAGCCACTTGGCCAGTAAGTTGAAAAGTTAGTGTTGAGCCCTGGGATTGGTTTTAAACCAGAGACCATACCCATTGGATCACTTCCATTTAGAGGTGGTGACACTGAAGAATGAAGATAGGGTGATGATTGACCATGGTGCATTCCTGATTGTCTAAATGATGTCATTGGTGGTAAACTCGACAGTCTCTCCATTGGCTCACCATGGCCCAAGTGATGGTAACCCTGTGGAATTTGAAGATGTAGTGGAAAAGCTTAGCTGAAGCAATACAAATCCTAAGTATCCACAAATGTGCTTCTGTAGATAAAGCACTCTACCTTTAAGGTAACGACTACATTTACTGATGTTGCAAAAAATTAGCTCAAAAATTAGATTCATTCAGCAAATGCAAAAATACTTAAAAAAAATGTAATAATTGAAAATTTAATGGAAATATTTCAGACTTTGGATACTCATATAGAATGTAAGATACACAATTAAAAGTCTATAATGAACAAAGAAGTTTTGAAGAAGCAGTTAATAGAAAATAACATGTTTCATAGATAGGACGTTTCATGGTTTGGAATGCAAATAGCAGGCTTTAAATTAACAAATTATGCTTGATGAATACAGCTATGTTACAGAAAGATACCACACACTTGCACCACAAACTCATCAAATTTTCTCTACTCCATGATAAATTAAAAATTTGCACTAAAGGTGTAAAGTTGACAATCAAAAATCAGCATAGAAAAGTAAATGTATGTTAAATCAATGTAGGTTTTGAAGTGTTAAAAGCCCGTGATCAGTTAAGAGTCAGACAGGCCCACAGCATTGAATGATTTCCTTGTTCAAAACAGCTTGATGCTCACTTCTCACATGTACAACACTTTGACTTAAGGTGAGAGATGCCAAAAGGAAAACAAACCAAAGAGCAAGACCCACATGCTAATAAATCACAGGAAGAAGGGTCATGTTAAAATTAATGTTATTTGACAGCAATGAAACCCTTTAAGTGGCACCAGCATATTATGTGTCTACCCCAATTTTGCAATGATTACAGCCAGCTAAGCTTGTGTTCAAGCCGGTAAGAGGAAGTAATCAGCACAATGCTGGTCAGAGATGATGAATGTGCATTCTAACACCATAAACAGTGCCCACCCTAGGCTGGTGAATAGCTGGACCCTTTGCTAATGCTGAAACGGGAATACCACGAACATCACTCTAAAAATAAACAAACAAAACCCTACATTGTAAACAAATTAAATCAAAACCAAATCAACCCAACAAAAATGTGATTGTACATGTAACTAAACTGTGCAACCCACCATGCTATCTCTTGGATGCATGCCATAACTGTTGCTGTAGGAGCCAGCTGAACCAGAATAGGATCCTGGACCAAGCTGACCAGTATGCCCCCATGGATCTGGTGAGCCATGATCTAAAAGAGACCAAGCAGAAATTGAATTATGACGCCCTTCACACAGCATATTTCTGTGAAATCTTCTTAATGTAATCCTGAAATCCCTATTCAACTTCCCTATTCACTTTCCCTATTCACTTTCACAAGCAAACAGATACTTTGAAAAGTGCACTTTTGACATCCACTTTTACAGTGGCCCACAAGTGCACACCGAACTCTAAATCTCCACACCGAACTCTAAATCTCCACGCCGAATTCTAAATCTCCGCACCGAATTCTAAATCTCCGCACCGAATTCTAAATCTCCGCACCGAATTCTAAATCTCCGCACCGAATTCTAAATCTCCACACCGAATTCTAAATCTCAATGCTGAATTCAAATTGCTCACACCGAAATCTAAATCTCAACGCCGAATTCAAATTGCTCACAGCAAATTCCAAAGATCTGGGAGACTGGACCGAGTATTGTTTCATCGAATTGAATTATGGGGAAAAGAAAATGGCGACTAGAACAGTACCGTTAAAATGTGATGACTGTGGCACAACGATATCTATTAACCGATTTTGTTCCAACTGCAGTATCGAGCTTGATCTCAAAAAGCTACTGATAAAGTATTACTTTAATGAGGGGTATGAGTATGAAGTTATTTTGTGTTTTTTGCAAAAGTACCATGGAATCCACATCAATGAATAACATTGAACATTAAACTGCAAAAACATCAATTTCACTTAAAACTAAGCAATATATTGCCCCGAAAACAGAGTAATAATTGAAGAACAACACTAAACCAAGTGCAGGAAACTCTCTCCCTGCAAAAACATTGCAGTATCTGCTCAAAATATTGCATCTTAGCCTATATGAAAAACACAACTTATGCCCCTACAGAAAGGATCATGGATGCGTACACACAATTGGCCAAAAGTAAGAGTCAATAGAAACAAAGCATTTTCGATCCTTCTAGTGAGTATGAAATGGTTGTGAAACACCTCATGTGTGACTGATACCGAGAATGAATCTCTACCAGTCTATTTAGTTAATCGGCAACTGACAAGATCCACAAGATTAGGATCGAAACCGTGGTCTTGCCTGACCACCTACAGAAAATGTTGAAAGACATTCTAACGGCAGATGGGCTACTAAACGCCCTGGGCCAAAGCAATGCCAATTCGATGAAACAATACTCGGTCCAGTCTCCCAGATCTTTGGAATTCGGTGTGAGCAATTTGAATTTGGCGTTGAGATTTAGAATTAGGTGTAGAGATTTAGAGTTTGGTGTGGAGATTTAGAATTCAGTGTGGAGATTTAAAATTCGGTGCGGAGATTTAGAATTCGGTGTGGAGATTTAGAATTCGGCGTGCACTTGTGGGCCACCGTACACTTTCGTAATGACTTGGGTTACAATAAACTTAATGAAACTACAGCAAAATATTTCATCCCCCCCCCAAATTTGGAAACATGTTCATCAACACAAACAAGTGGCTACCTTCTACAACAATTGTACTACAAGCAACTGCTTGTATGCAAGTCTATAAGATAACTGGATCAGATATATGTAATAGTAGACACCTACGAGTTTGGTTCTTTGTTGAAACAAAATTTCCACTTCAAAATTCATTTACATGCTCATAGCATAAAACACAAACATGTACATGTTAAGCTTCTGCAATACTGAAAAAAGACCATTATAACTTATGAAGAAATGATATGAGGAATTTTATGTCAAATTTTGAGTTATTATTTCCTTTCACACTTCTTAGATTTTCTTCCTAGGAATTTACTTCTCCTTCAACTTCATCAAAAAACGTAGTAAATAATTTACCGAGTAAACCTAAGGGTTGTATCAAGTCTAGCAAAGTGGGTCCTTGCCTCTTCAAAGAATACAAAACAAAATAATATTCACTTATCATGCTACATCAGCATGAAATGCAGATACTCACACTCTTGGATTGTTTGATTTCATGTATGAAAAATCCCTATCAGTAAATTGAACAAGAATCTATCCCCAAAGGTAGTCACTTTTGGGGTCTAATTTAAATGTTGTAACAAAAATTTTGAGGCACAAAACACTTATAAAGATCTAAAAAATACAGCATCATAAAAAGAAACCTTCCATTTTTTCTGGAAAATAATTATGCTAAAAAATAATGTATCACAATTCACTATGACATGTTTTGGTCGATGCGTAACAACATATAAGTACTGAAAGGAATTCTTAGAATCAGCAAAAATCTTGGTTATATATCAGATATAAGAAGTAGGGTCAAAGATACTATGTTGAAGCTTTAATTCCATTGCAATATATCATCATGAAAAAGGGAAATCTCATTGTAAAAAAGCAGTCATGTACAATAATTGGTCATCACAACCTAACAAAATTTTTGGCATCACAAAACTTAAAGGTAGCAAAACTTTGAATAACAGATGACAATATATGACCCAGCTATGAGATGATAGCTTATCCAAATTGTGTGGCAAAATTGGAGCCTGTAATGTGGATGCTCCTTTGTCAAAAAAAACAAAAAATGGCCAAATCAAGTGTGGGGATGCTATTCATTAAGACTCATTTTGTTTGATAAAAGAAACACTGAAATCAGTGCACAGTTAAGTAAAAAGAAGCCTTTAGAAGACAGAACCTTGGAATACCGGAATACCAGAATACTAGCAGAACAAGAGATATGAACCTAAATTTACAATTAATTTGAAAAAAAATCAAATCAAAATCAGTGCACTACAAGTCATGAACTACACAACCCATAAAAACAATTGATTTATCAGAAGTTTGGTTATAATGACAGAATAATGTTACTTCAGCTGGAAACCACAAATGAAGTGTTCATAAACACAAATGAGGATAACAGCCTTTACCACATGACTGTAACTGAAATAGCCCGCAATGAAAAACTAATCAAGTGTGGTGCTAAGTCACTGCAGGTCTTCAACAGACTTGTAGTTGTTAACAGTCAGTTAAGTGCCTTCACGCTTTACCACATGTTACTCTGAGTTGCTCTTGAGCAAGCGTCTTCTCAGTTCATTCCAACGACAAGCATTAGGGTTTTTAGTACTACTAATTCAACAGGAAACATGGCATTGCTTATTTATCTATGGCTAGTTGAGAACAGAAGCCTGTGTCTTTGACAGCTGACACATTGAGAGAAAAAAGTCTGAGGGGATCCTGCAATTTAGCGCACAAAAATATCAGGAACAAAGAACATTCAGAGGACTTTAAGGTAGGAACAAGAGAACTTTATCATAATAAATTCCACTGGTAATTGGACTAATTGACTATGAATAGAACTGAAAAGGGGAAACAAAAAGTTGAGGTATCAAGGAAAGAGAAAATAACAAATACACAGTAGACTGTAACAGGAGACTCTTCTAAAATGGTGGTCAAAGAGCAAAAAAAGAAAGCGCAACATGGGGACTGCAACATGAGATACGCTAATCCTTCTTACCCATGTAGTAAGCATCAGCGTAGATTCCCCCTTTTGGAGAGTAATGAGATTGAGTCAAGGCATCCCCAGGATGAGGCATCATGTCATCAGCACCTGGTGAATAGACCTGTAAAAGAACGGACAATGTTTCATTTCAGCATTCCAAAGAATGAAAAGGATGCAATATTAGATGCCAAAGCACACTAAAAGATAAACTGAGATCAAGAGGCAAATTGCGACAGCAGTCACTTATAAGAGAGCTAGCTTGTCATTTCACAACCAGTCATCCTCATGTGTATTTATCCTAACATTTTGAAAAATAATTGAAGAGGAAAAGCACATGTAAATTGTCTTTCACAGGGGGTCACAGTGAAGTAACAGTTGTTTCAAGTTACTCAGCATATGGGATCAAGAAACCGCTTTTAAAAGCTCTTGGAAGTTCTGAAATTTTCACAAGGCTTATCTACATCCTGTTATGACTGATTTAGGCTCCCAATCTTAGCTGAGAGAAATGACGCAGGCAATATTTAAGACCTTCTGTTTCATCTCTGAGGACACATCTTGAAGTGAAAGTGATGTGACATCAGTGTAAATAAAACCATTATTCAAACAACACTGCTCCATAGAAATGCCTCAAATGTACTCAAAGATATAAATTATACCTTTCCCCTGGCATGGTAGGGGAGTAGAGGCCTTTGATGAGGATATGGATGTCTCCACATGGAAAAATCTTTTAGAAAATCACTGCACTGAACAACAGGCCAAGTATTGTCTGGCTTATTTTATCTGCTCCCTAACAGCGCCTCATGCAGGCAACATTAGGACAATAATCTAATTACTGTAAGTTGATCCTTCTATCTAAACAAAGACCTTGCTTATGTTTTTACCAATCACAGGCACTCAAGTTCTGATTGTACTATCATGTGACATTAGATGACAGTGATGGCTGCCAGAGCCATGCCTATTTACCTGTAACTTTATCCCAAATGAGAAACCACAACCTCTATAGTCAGGGAAAGAATTTGGCAGTTTTTTCCTTCTTACTTAAACAGATGTTCTGTGCTTTAAGCTTCACAGCTGGTATTTATCTTTGAAAAACTGGGTAATCTATCATAATGTAGCACTCAAAGACTCTGCAGTGATCAGAAATTTGTTATATGGAGGACAAAGAATAATTCTGAACTGCATGTTTTTAATCCATCAGCACTGCATGGAATGACAATAACTACAGTGTTCACTCCTCATAATAACAGTCTGGAAAAAACATTTTTGTAAATGCTTGATTGTCATTAAAACCTCTTTATAAAATCATTGTAAGCAGTCCTTTTTACAGACACTGCATTTAAAGGCCACAGCTTAGTCATCTGTCTTTTCATTGTTTTTGTAAAAGGGCTACATGCTGTGACTTTAGCCTCTTAGCCTCTCCTCCCTTGAAAATAATTTTTGTTCTCTTATCATGTAACAAACACTCCTTTGGTCTGTTATTCATTGGCAGAAATATTTGACTTATCAGAAGCAGTCAGCTAGTGATTGTGTTGGATCAAAGTCAAACTATACAGCATTCAGTTACTAAACAGAACGCAGCTGGTTAGGGTAAGTACATTTTACCATTTAAAACATGAGTCTTCAGCTTTATAGAGGGGTCAAAACAGTGACTGTGCGCCAGATAAACTCAAAACTCCATACTTTCCTCCCCTGACTAAATTCACATCTCAGCACACTTACAGAGAGGGAGCTATTGTTTTTGCTTGACTTGTACTTTCTTCCTCTCCCTAGAAAGAAGAAATTGACAGGCAGTGATTAGACTGGACAAAATACATCTCTGCAAGGTAAACAAACACATGCTACAGTAATTAAAATAGTATACAAATTAATGGTGCAAGGTCTCTAGCCACAACTTGTTACATACTGGTGCTGTTCAATAAGATTACAATTGGCTACAAAACTTATATGATACTGATACTTGTGAGATGTACAGATGGGAGGGGGGTACATTATACCTGTGACATGTATCAGGCTATCAAGTTTTATCCAATGATGCACATATCCATGTACAGTTGTAGTCCACAAAAATTCCACTGCTCAGAAAAAAAACTTAATATCTCAAACAGATCACCTGTGGTCGCCATAGCCATTATGATAGGTTTTACAATTCCCTTATGTTTTCGTGACTAACCCTTGACAAGTGTAGAACTTCCTTCACCATGCGGCTAAATCAACAGTTTTAAAAACTATTCATTATAATAGCTTCCAACCCCCTCACACATCCACCTTTGCCATCATTTGTTTGGGCTTTCAGCAAGTTACATGCAGTGAGGAAAGAGACTTGATTTTCTCTGGAACCTTTCATCAGCTTTTCATTGGATTTCATTTAACAATACACTGCCAATCCAACATGTTTCATGTCTGTGAAATGTAACAATTATGAAACTGTACATGCAGGGTGAAAAGAGGATTGATTTTCTTTGAAACCTTTCAACAGCTTTTCATTCAATTTCATTAAACAATATTTATACCAATCCAACATGTTTCATGTCTGTGAAATGTAACAATTATGATACTGTAGAAAACAGTAGAATTGGAAAAAAAGAGAGTGGATGATTTCATTCACAAAAAATCTTGAACTTACATGCAGATTGAAGAGAAAGCAAAATGTACCAAAGGAATTTATCAACTATACTAAAAAAATATACACAAGTTAAATAGGCATCACAAAAAGTTAAGTATTGGCTTCTTTCATCACAAAGAGGTTCAGACAAGATGAATGAGTTCAGTTCTTGGCTTGAGATTTCTCTCTCTCCTGACTTAATCTTCAAAAGATGTGATTCTACCCAAATGTCCCTGACCTTAGAGAAATTCACCCCCCCCCCCTCCAACTACATGTATTTCCTGACCTGACTGGCCACCAAGTTACCAAGAGATGCAAAAAATCAAGAAGTGAGACTTTGTCAGCTTACATTTAAGCAGCCAGATTCAAAATGGCTGCCTTGATCCATTGTCAAATTTTTGGCACATTCAAAGATAATTCTTGAAAGACTACGTTATTCTTTAGAATTTCAAAAAGCAATTAATAGCATAATTTGATTGATACTTATGGATGAAAAATATTGCATAACTTCTGGGCAGAACTTTTTCTTTGAGTTAACACCAACATAATTGTTAAAGAGTATACAGCTTTAAAAAAATGTTTCATTGAAAATACTTTATTGTTTAATGTGATGATATTGCAGTTCCAATGATGACATCAGTTGGTTATGCACTGGTTAACCTGAACATGCTTTCCAGTTCACCAGGTTTTGCCTGTTAAATAGATTTTTTACGAAAAGAAGAATGAAGCTACCTAGTGTTAAAGGTGCACAAGTGTTTCTTTCTCTGTTTCCCACCTTAACAGTAAAGAGGGATACCACCACACATGTTTTCTAAATGAATTCTCTAATGACTATAAACAAGGACAGATTTGAGAAGTACTTATTGAGAGTTAAGACCCCTGTGAGGGTTCGTTAATTGCCCATAACAAGACAAATTCTTTTCATTGTTTACAGTATTACTTATTGGCTAAAATGCTTCTCTTGAACTTTGATCCCAAAGCATTTCATAACAATTCTTCTGCAGATTAGAATGGTTGGTTTCTCTAGGTTCCATTTGTTTTGAGATGACAATAATATAGCAGAGTCATAAAGTTACATACAGCTCAAACTTTCTGTTAGATTACAAATTGTATAATTTTTTTTGCTCCAAACAAACAGGACCAGAAATTTGACTCTGAAATAGTTGAACTAAACATATACTTAGAATATTCTTTGTATGTGATGCAATATTGTTTAGTACAAGAGAATAATCACTCTACCATAGTTAAGAGCAAAAGGTATTTCTTTAAACCCCAGGGTATCACTTTTAATCAGCCACATGCTGACATTATAAAGCATGGAAAATGTAAACAGAGGAAAATGTCTTTTCAGGTTTAGCAGTTGAGGTAATTCTACTTTAATAACTCAAATGAAATCCTAATGTTTTGCATTCTCTCCTTGCGACAAATGACAGTGCAGTTTAAATATGCAAGTTTTAACACCAAAGATTTTTCAAGGCTGTTTTAACATAAAATTAGACATTTTTCACACAGTAAATTCACAATGAAATGTTTTACTAACATCATAAGATAAAAAAAAAATAATGATCACACCAAAAGTAAAGTCACAACTATTTCTGAGACAAACCACAGTTATTGTTAGAATTAATGTTCTAAAAAGCAGTTAACAGCTTTATACTTTGGTCTGTGAAATACATGATACTTCTCGGGTTGGATTCAGTGGTGAATAGGTATACCTTTAGATGAGAGTTATTGTTGTGTAAGAGTTGTGGCAATTTTTTAAAAAATATTCTTGTGTTTTGGAAAAATATTTTTGACAAGCAATAGCAGATATTTTTCGTGATTACATGTATATTGCCTTGTAAAGTAGCTCCTTAACAATCAGCGTACCCAAGTTATGTCAATGGAATTTTTAAAGGGACTGTCATCCAAAATTAATGGAGAGAATGAAGAGATCAAAGAAAACTAAATAATAATAATAATAATATTATTAATACTACTACTACTACTACTACTACTACTACTACTACTAATAATAATAATAATAATAATAACGATGAAGAAGAGCAGTCTTGGGACACTGGTATGAAATGTTCCAGGAAGCTGTATTAGGAAAAAGTAAACAAGAAGGGCAAACCTTCAACCAAAAACGTAAATATGTACTTGGTTGGTTACAATTCATTGAGACCAACTGGAAATTGTTTTGCAGTGTACACAGGGAATTTCCTATCCTAGCAGACAAAAGTAATCCCATTTCCACATAAGAAACATTATAAGGCAAAGACATACAATCCTAAGCCCGAGGCATTGTTAAAATGGTCAAAATACAAAAGCAAATGAAAAAGTACTCCGAGTGTATAATTATTATAGAAGATGCATTAAATTGTCTGTGCTTTTTGAATAACCCACCAAAGACGTATTTGAACCTCTAGTTAATCACAAGTTTGTAATTCATATCTTGAAAATTTCAACTTAGATTTTTGAATAACCAAATATTTGCTACGTTGTCAAATTCATGTCCACTCCCAGGAGGGGTTAAGTATCCATGTGAGCCCTTATGTATACACAAACATGATCACAGTATTTTTATCAGTCATTATCCATATGTACACTGGTGAACTTACAATCTGGACTTGATAGGGAAACATCATGAGAAGTCTGCAGTGGTGGAGGGAGGCCAGCCTGTGAGAAACAGCAACCACATTACTTTAAATGTTTTGTTTGTCTGTTTGTTGTTTTTGTTGTTGTTATTTGGTTCAGTAGAAGTTCTTGTTGTTGAGAATGTACATATATTGCAAAAAAATTCAGCAATATCAATTTATCACTAAGGAATATGAAGATGATACTGATAATTATAATTACAAAAACAATATTAAATGATGATTGAAAATAATGATAATGATGAGAAAAAAAAGTTAAAAAAAACTGGTACTATTTCCTAACCACTCTTGCAAAAGATTGCATCCCAACTCAACTAGATACACAAGTTTGTATCATTTGCGACAGGTTTCTCAAGGTTTGGTCACAAGGTTTGGTCCTTTCCAACCAAAGAGAATTGATATTGAAAAACTAGAAATTCATAAATTAGCAATTACTGTTTTCATTTTCATTGCTGAGTATTAAAAAAAGACCCTTGAACATTGCAAAATATATCAACTCTCAGAGATTGTGCATTGAAGTTATGATTTCAAGCGAAGTTCCTTGATAAGAATGGACTTTGTAACTTTTGTGCAACACCATTAACTGATCAATCAGCAATTAATTTTCCATTTTCATTTCTGAATAATAAAAAACCCATCCAGCATTGCAAAAGTTATCAACTCTCAAAGATTGTGCATCAAAATTGTGTTTTCCAGGGAAGTTCCTTTGCACAACAGTTATTAACTGATACCACTATTGAGTCTACGATGGTGTTTAACTTAGCGCGTCAACTGTCATTTTTGATTTCAAATGAGTCACCAGAATGCAAACATGGAAAGTGAACATTTAGTGTAACATTTGAGTATTAATACAAATGATCCTGGTCTTCAGTTGAAAACCTGTTTGGTAGTTGCCTTTTTTCTTGGAGTAAAAATGGACAACACTTCACCAATCAATAATTCTAACATTCCCAATTGTCAAATAGAAATATTAAGTACCTAAATCCACCAAACCCTTAGCATGTGTTTATAATGTGTACGCCCACCAATTTTAAAGCACTACAAGTCATTTTGGATGACCAAAGCCAACCTCTCGTGACTTGTTTTGCAATTTTCTCCACCTTCTATTATTTTTCCATTAAACATCTCAGGTTTCTTGTTGCATGAATATTTCAAAGAAAATAAGCTGCAATTGGAAACTTGTTTTAAAAGAACCAGCAAGGCAAGCGAGTACTTCTTAAATGGGGACACAGAGAGAAAACTAAATTTGTCAGCTGGGCTGGTTAAGAAGAACTTGGGTTATTTTTTCATATACATGCTTTACAGTATGCAATAAAACAAGTATGATACATTTATCCTTAAATGAGGAACCTTTTCCTTGGAATCCATGACCACGTTACTTATATGCTGAGTTTCTTTGCCAGGCCTTTGAAAACAATGTGCAATACATCTACTACAACTCAATGGTGTATGGCTCCTTATACTATTGATGACACCATATTAACTCTCAAAAGTTTGCAGCTTACCAGGTGATCCCTTTGTAGCACAATTTGACAGTGTTTACAGGAAGCTGTGCTTTAGGAAACCAAATTTTTACCTCCTGTTTTTCTCACGAAACACTTCTACTTGTATTTGCACTAAACAAAGTAATTGGCAAGACTTTGGGTTCACTTGAGTTACCAGAGGTATTACAAAGATTTTCACAAATAAAAAATCATAATTTTTTTTATCTCTTTCATATGGGAGTGCATGAGACTATTCTGTGGGCAGAATCATGTGTTATGATAATTTCTCACAGCCGTTATTCAGTTTACATGTTTTACAACATGAATTTTGAATGATGATTAACTAGGTTGCCATTAAAACAAATTTGTTTTGTTGTTACTATTTAAAATGGGGAAAATAAAAGAAAAAGAAAGGAAGAAAGAAAATGAAATGAATTCTGGTGAAATTATTCCAAACTGGATTTTTTTTCATGCCCTTTCTGTAGCTCAATGTTCTAATAACTCATCAGTCAAAATAACAACATATGCATATTGGAGCACAACTGTACAATTAAAAGAGAAAAATACAGAAATACTTACTAAAAAAATTAATTAACGTTTACAATGGTGCTGATCTTTATACTCAGCTTGTATCAGTGTCTTGGTTCTGCAGAACTTTTTCAAAACCTCCTAATTTAATTCCTACTTGCTGAATTTACTATTTCAAATTATGTGAAGGGGCATTTCTTGAAAAACATCATAAATTTAACCAGTAGAGAGCTGGAAAGCTGTTGCATACTCTGTGGTGTTTAGCAGCTGTGCTATAAACTATCTGGCTTCCTCATTCTTAATTTGATAAACTGATTAACAAGGCTCTTAAGCTTTTGGGATTCCAAATCTTTTTTTTTTAATTTCTTGTCTAACAGTTGTACTGAATACGTATGCAGTTACATGTACATGACTGGAGTGTTACTTCTTGATCGACAGGTACCCATTCAGCTCCTGATGAAGAGCAAATCTGAGCAAAATACTGCCATCTCTAACGAATGATAGACTTGTCTTTATCTCGAATACATTTCAACCTTTGCTTTACTTTGGTATGTACCCAAAGAGATTTGTTTAAAATGGTAGTAAAACACTAAGTTTAGGCAAGGGGAATAGATGCTTGTGCCCTTAGAGCTCTCATTTGTTAACTGCCAGCTTATTGTTTTACATATGATGCACGATCCTCGCAGTAGATAGCACTATTTAAGCAATAGCGAAAATCAGACCTGAAAAAAAATCAGGCCTGTATGGGATTCGAACCACTGACCTCTGCGATACTAGTGCAGCGCTCTACCAATTGAGCTAACAAGCCAACTGGGAGCAGGCCGTTATCTACTGCGAGGATCGTGCATCATATGTATCTAATACCGCAGTACAAAATATATGAACTTCATATATTTCTTTGTATCTCACTTATTGTTTTATTATGTCCAGCTGCTAAAAAAAAATCTGTTGAGAACACTGTTGGTTACAAAAACTCACCTGGCTTCCTGTTAGTCCAGATTCTCTATAACCTGAAAAAAAAAGTCACTTCTTGTCAGCTGTATATCTCTTCTGGCATACCATCAAGTACATAATGCTAGTCCTTAATATATCAGACTGACTAGTGCTAGAATGAAATAATGTCAAGCTCATGCTGAAATGTTGATAGTTTGACACCTTCCTATGTTAGACTAACTTGTGCTAGCTATTAAAAGTACATAGAGAGATATTCTTAAATGTCAAACATGCTGGCAACTGATGTCTAACTCTAAGTATGCATCTACAGTTACTGCAAACATTTAAAATACCTAAATTGACAGAACCTCGGCAATACTCTACACTGAGACATATTGTGCAATTTTTCAACCAACTCAGGTTCAAGGAGGAGAGAATCTCTTCAAAAAAGAACAATATCCAAGTAACTGATAGCCAATATATGCCAAATGATCCAACTCTAAAGCTACCCTCCAAAAACCTGAAATGTTCTGACAAAAGTTGTGGCCACAAAGATTTTACTCCATGCATTGAAAAGCCAAACCTTGCCTCAGCTGTTACATGTATCTCACATGGGCAACTAGACTCTCTACAAAAAGTTATCTCTGTATTTACAAAATCTCTATTCAATGAAATTCCTTATAGATTTGAGACGAACATGATAATTTGGGATAGAAACATTCACTTGCCATAAATTTGACTCCATGCAAATTGATAGATTATGAAGTTTTCAGAGCTGGCAAGCCTGTGTTTAACTAATGTCACCTAACATAGAGGAGGTTGAATGCAAACCACACACACAGTGACTTGTTGGTCAACCTATCCAAGATCTTGATGCAGGTTTCATCTTAAAGCCCAAAGTTTAAATAGCTGATTTGTTTTGCAGATTAACTCCAGCTAAAGGAAGATCGATTCAGTCAAAGCTTTAAAGCAACCGACCAAATGAGAATCATTTCTTTTAAATCTGTATTATACCACTCAAACGTTTTCATCTGGTAAAACAACATCTGCTTCTAAAAACGATAAAAAATTACGTGTGAAAATTTTTATTATGACGAAGTAAAATTTGCGTGGTCAGTGAACCGAACCATATATAAAATTAACAAGACATAGAGTGCATTTAATCAGTGAATGAACTCAACTATGTTATAAACATACACATGTGTGCGAGTCACGCGTTTTGAAAGTGCTTTGGAAAGAAGGGAATCCTCAAATTGGTCTTAATGTAACTGTAGGTATTATCATTAGGTCAGTCTTTATGTTGCTCATGAAACAAGATGTGTTTTTTGATCGTCACCCCTTAGAGGGTGGGGCTTATGTGAAAGTAAGCATGTTCGCGCACATTATCATATTCTCTATTTGAGGTGAACAAAGGATGAATGGAAACAATTTTTTTCGCGAAATATAAAATGAATATTTGCCCTAATCGCTCATTTTATTAACCCCGACACAAAAGTCTGACTTAACCAAAAAACGACTCGCAAAAGCAAAAACGTCTTTAAGCAAAACAAATTACTCCACCGGTTCTATACTTGAAGTGAACGAAAATAAAATATGGTCATTTTATTTACTAAGCATGGCGCGTTAAAATATTAAAATTATCGCAAATACAAGGGGGAAATCTAAATATCTAAAAAAAACTGTTTTGCGCTAATTTCGCCACCGTCTAACCGATTTGAGTCGTTAAAACCGATCATGCGAAAAATAAATCTTCGCCACAAGAAAATGCGATCTCGTCATGCATCGAAAAATATTATATACATCATGAAAAAAGAAAAAAACAACAAACCGATCATTTTCCGAAAAATATCCATGCAAATTTGCGTTTGGTTTTTCATTGTCTTGTGTTTCAATTCGATCGAAGGATTTTACGCATAATTCGAGAATATGGCAAAGCAACACGCGTCAATGTTTGGATCATAAGAACCTTGATCGTGCGAACAATCTCAAGCAGGCAACGCAGTTCGGCTATGATGCTCAGCGACAAAACAACAACAAAGCCGAGACAAGTAGAGCCTTATCTGAACCATTCAAGTGCCAAAGAATAATTTCACAGTTAAGTCCTCGCCGAAATTTCTACCTTGCGTTAACAATACTCTTACCTAAAGTTCCTAGAGAGTTTGAACCGAGATACGAATTAGTAAAACCAGCTCCCTTACGGGATATAAAGTCGCCTTCAACATCATCGATCGTGCTGTATACGCCGTGGTTATCCGTATGATATCCCTGGAAAGTACAAAATAAAAAATAAAACCGAATAAAAATCGACGAAATTAAAAAGGTCATATGAAGTAATATTTATTCAGTCGTTCAGGTTTTGCTCGATGAAGTGTTAAAAATGCCGAACTGCAAGGAAAACAACATTTCAACGGGCATGGCTTCGCTAACATACAAGGCTATAAGAGCCACTTGTTAGTAAAATATTTTGCATCTTTATAAAGTAACAAATTATCGCTCGAAAATATAGAGTTTCCGTTCGGGCACGTGCTGCATTAGTGCTTCTAATTTTGCACAAATGTTCCTGTTGACATATAGCGAATTTTACCGAACTTTTGTTTTGGAGATTTGTTTTACTTTTGAAGCGCATAAAGCATCGTAGGTTTAACTGTATCCACAGCTTACCCGAGCTTCGTAGGCCGACACAGAACTGCCTTGCCACGTGGGTGTCTCGTCTAAAGAACCTTCAAAAGAAAAAATAAAAGTAAGCCATCAGTGAAAATATTTTTATGACTTGGAAGCAGAGAAGCATGTGGGTTGGAATCAAGAACCGGTGTGATGTACTCTAGTGCGCGTAGCAGGTTCTGTGAGCTCCATACAGAAAGTTTAATTCATGGCGAATGGCATACAAACAAAACGCAAACGGCACCTGTTCTAGATGCGTGCATGGAACTCGATAACCCAGCTTCCGTCAGAGAGCCACTAGATTTACTGCCGACCATGGATCCCGGCGGCGAGAACATCTGAGCAAAAAAAAATTGCCAAAACACAAAGCAAATACGATCGTTAATAAACTGCAGCCAACAGCGCTCGCTAATCGCAACATCAAGTGAAGTTGCGAATGCAAGTGTGGCAGAAATTTTCCAAGTTGTACTAACCGCGCTGAAGTCAAGTAGATCGCTCAGTTCCTTATCTCCCGCGTGCGGATTCATTCGTCAAAATCTCCCAGTATCTAGCGTGCCGTCCGTTGAAAAAATCGCAGCGACTTTTTATGAATGCACGCAGGCTTGAGCGAGTCGACTTTGAATAATAAGCTGAACCACACAAAAAATCCTCAAAACTTCAAGCTTGCTCCGTAACAAAAGCAACGCGTATAACTTTCCCTCGATCGTTATACCGAGCTGACAAACCGCACACAGCCAAATAATTCGCGATTTTTTAACGGTTTTCCATGCGCCTTCAGCGCGGGGGGAATTTCCGCGAACACAATTCAACAACTAGCTTTACAAATTTCCTCTAATTCGCGTGGCTTCGTTTTCTCCATATTCCCGAGTTTAACCGGCCCAACTCTCCGAGGAGGGGACTAAAAATAATAATTGACAGGTCATTGTTGCTTTCATCATGGCAATTATTAGTCTTGACAGATCCAATTATATTTTAACCAATCGTACGAGTTTTTAGAAAATCAACTATTACCATGTGACCACTACACGTGATTACGAAATCCAAACAAAATTTTCTGCGCTTGTGATTGGCTGACCTATGACGTTATTGAGTCAAACTTTTTCCCTGTTTGGGATGTACAAAAAATAATAGTGCAAAAATGATTTAATCTGAACAGTAGAAATTCTATTCTTGAATTTTTAAAATTTCAATCCTAAAAGTAATTTTTATCGTGATTAATTAATTTAAGTTGCAACGGTGTTATTAAGATCATTCGGAGGTCCTACGTTATATATTTTTGTTCAAGAACAGGATATATTAAATTTGTTATTTCCGGTTCTCGTTGGCCAGATAAAATTTATAGCGATACGTCTTTGTCAAACGCTCTAAACAACGATGCACGAGTTGAATTACTCCCTCCGCTTTCCTTCGATTACTTTAAACAATTGTGACTCAAAGTTTCCTGACGATTTTCATGGTAGTGTCACCTGTAATCCCATTGTTTAGATCCGCTTACACTCACCCGAGTGGGATTAAGGTGCGATCTTTTAATCTTTCTAAAGGTAAAGAAATGCTCCTTTGGAAACTTCGTTTTTGAGTCATTCACGCAAGTGTCGTTTGAAAGTTCTGGAAAATTTGCATATCGACGGTAAACTTCTTTCCGAAATTTGCATAATGTTGACAAGCTACAAAAAGGAAACGTGAATTAAATGTGATTCATACGATTGACATATTAAAAAACCCTGCTTTCTACTCGGACCATTTTGAGCTGAGAAATTTTTGTTTCAATGGGAGTTTTTTGTGCTTTTTTGTAGATTAATTTTGTCCCTACGTCACTTTCGCAACAATTACGTGACATCACAGCGATGGTTTGCTTTCGCATCATGCCTTTGTGAACATAAGTAGCTTTTGACCCAACCACTTACTGAATATCCACCGAGCCAACCAAACGTTCAAATTTCGTGTTTTTGTTTCAATCAAAGGGAAATCACAAGAAGTGGTACTTCGAATCATGAACTTGTAGTGCTCATCGCATCGCGCACTGGATTTCATAACATGAGCACAACTTGCCATTTCAGTTGTTTACGATTCACTGGACAGTAACCACTACTCTAAGTTTTATTTCAATATGAAGCTCGTAGGTCATTCACGAGCCGATATTTATAGTTTTTTTTAAGCTTTCGTATTTGGTATGCATATATTTATTTTCCTAATGTCCTAGAATGCCCCTTCGAACAGTTATTTTAGGAAGTTACGAGAGAATCCTGCAATTACAAAGACCACGTTTAATATTAATTTTTTAAATAGCACACCATGGTAGATGTAGCGTTGGTAGAAAAATTTCTAGAACTTAAATAATTCCTTTTATAGAAGTTTTTAGTGCTGAGTGAGCTAGCTTTGATCGAATTAAAATTATCGGCGTTTACCTTCTAAATTTGATGTTAGTTTTATGTTGATTTGAACAAAGAGGATGTAAATCCGCTGATCTATGCAATTTTTTGGCCTAATTCTGCTTAACGCCGCTATGATTCGCCCATTGAAATCCGTACAAGAATAACTTTTCAGGTTTTTGCGGTTTATAGCGGATAGGTAATGTTGTCTCTACTATTTAGAAAGTAACGAAGGAGATTGAGGCGATCCGCATGTCATGGACACCTTAAGTGGTTTTGAAGGAAAGGGAAGAAAAGTAAAACATACCCGCTTTACCCGTCCACGATTCACTGTGTAACGTTCGTTTAAGGTCCAAGGACCGAACTTTGCCAAACTCAGGACGAAATTTCCAACAGATCTCCAGTTCATGGTATTTTCAAAATATAAATTAACCGTTAAATTTTCTTCTTAGTTCGCAATCCGTGGGCTTTTACAAGATACAAATTTGCAGCTCGATATACGATAAAATTCTACTGATGTTGAAGTACTTTTGCAATGAAGTCGCGTAGCGTACATATGTTTGTAGAAAAATTAACCTTAATTTTTTATTTGCCTAATAGATGAGGGAGCCCACGAAGAATTGTGCTCATGTCAAAAAGAGAGTAAACTAACGAGCAGTATTCTCTTGACAAATGTTCTGGCGTGGTAGGATGATGCCCAGACCACAGCTTTTCGTGCTTCATTAAGAAAAAAATATGAAGAGGAAGTATCACTTACTCTCTTTTTTTTTCTCAACGCAGATGTCGAGCAGAGATTTCGCCCTAAGGACTCAAAGAACAGCCAGATAATTCCGTGGCAAAATACTTGGAGAAGTCCTTTCTCCTTGTTGTGAGCTTTCTAGAACTACGCAAAAATTCCTTTAACAACAACTGCAAGTAAAGAAACATTGGAAGTTGTCTTGAAACAAACTTAAAGTCATGCACTGAGAGAGCTCTCCTTCGCCCTTCCCCTCCCTTAAAGCTACAAAATAGATTCTTATGGGGAAGAAAATGAGACGAATTGCCGGAATAAAGGGATAAAGCTCTATAGAAAATGTATGGTCACCTAATGTAAACGGGAGTTTTGACGGCAGCCAGTGTTTGCAAAAAACTTGCCTTAAGAGTTTATGTTGTGACTTTGAACTGGAGGGTACCAAACATCGTTTTCAAATAAATTTTTCAATGATAACCGCTCTGAATGTACACGATCAACTGTCGATTCATTCTTACCAGATCATTATAAAAATGGAAACTTTTCTCCTGACCCTTTTCACGATCGTTTTTGAGCCATTTTAACCCAGAGTAAGAAAAGGCCCGTCATACTTCAGAAGTTCTGCTTCCCGACATGCTCCGTGAAACCGATTGGAAATCAAAGGGGTGAAGTGAAACATACTTAATTTCATTCGCACCATCTTTCGTCCTCGCTGCTAAAAATTGTGTTTTAGCGAACTCCCAATCTCACCCAAAATAGATCTCATTCGTCCGCTGGTTTATTTCTCAGTCCATAAAAAATACCCTCGAAAGCTGTTTCAGCCCACGAAAACGGAGCAACAATTTGAGAGCATCAAGTGTAATTGAGGTTTTTCTAGATTTCGCAATAGTTCGTGCCTTTTGTTTTCACTGTCTGTATCAACAGAGGAACTCGCTTGGTCGTCTGATTTGTCTACAGTGGGATGTTGGATTGCATATTATCCTCTTCCAAATATTCTTTTCAGTTAAATTTGAGAACTCGGAAGACAACTATACTGTGCTGGTTGATTAAGAAAAGGCTGCTTCCTCGACTTTTCCTGAATTATTGGGGAATTTGAAAGACTAAGAGACTTGAGTTGAAAAGTGGCCGATAATTGAAAACAATTGGGCAGTGCAAGACCCGGAACAAACTCGGAGACAACGGAAGCCGCTAAAGAAACGCTCCTAGAAACGATCATGATTCCCGGACTTGCCTACTTTTTGATCTGTTACGAGCCACTCTGTCAATTTACCCTTGATACGCAATTATAAAATATTTTCAATAGTGATCTTCGTTATCTAGTTTTCATCGTTTACTTCAGTTTTTCATTTATCCCCAGCATAGAACAAAAGAAATAAGTTCGTTTAACTGTTAAAACAGCGTTCTGATATTTTTTAATGTACTTTGTATCGGAAAGAGGTTAAGTGTACGATGACATTGTAATACCCCTGTTCCGTCTTTTGGAAGTCCCCTCTCCCTACACTATGTGTATATTTTAGAGTTTTCTTTCTTACATCACTTTAAAAATATGCTTTATATATGATACATGTATATTTCTACAAATTAGAAATGAAAAACCGAAAAGTCAAGGGTTCTCGACATTTGTTTTTGATATAACGGCAGTTGCTTAACCATTGTCTCCTTACTTGGATCAATTAACAATCACCTAATTGATATTTTAGTTTATTCTCATCACTTGTTTCCTTGATAATGTGAAGAGCAATTCTGTCTTCAGTGGTCATTCATAGAAGGAGTTGAAGGGTTAAAAATTATTCCTTGCGAATGACGAGGACAGTGTTAAAATACATATCGAGGATCTATTTGTGGAATTTGACAAAAAGATTATGCCAAAAACGATCCACCCATTAAATAACAAATATCATGACTGCGAAGAACTAAAGAGAAAAAAAAACAACAAATCGAGCAGACAAAACCGAGTCACCTGTGTCTTGTTTTTTGACGAATGTGAATCGACTTGGTGATTCATTCAAGAAGTCATCAAACAACTTTGTCTGTATCTAAAAAAACAAATTTACTGCAAAACAAACTTGTCTTGTATCTAACTAGTCTCCCTCGTAGCCGTTTTTTTTGGATGTCAGGCAACGCTCCCCCCAAAAGAACGGCTGCCGACAACCGAACTGCATTCCTTTCTCATTGTCCTTGCGGTTTGGTCGCGGTCTATTGAACAGACCAATCACATACCAGAAAATCTGAATGACGTAAGGTTTCACGCGAAAATGTGGATGTGGCAGATGATCTAGCTATCATGTCGGGAGAAACACTAAAGAAATTTGTCGATGAGAGCTAGAAATGTTTCACATGTTCATCGTTGTGCCCTGGTAAAGACAGAGTATATATTGTTGGGAAAACTTCTCACAATTTGGTTGAAATTATAGAATCTACGCTTATCATAAACGTCAACTGCTACGCCAACGACACGAACGCTAGATTGTTTGAGCGGTTGTTAAAGTTTCAGCGAGCAACTGAGAAAGTAGAAGAAGCTAAAAACTGAACTGAAACTCTTTATTCGCACTATTTCAAGAGGTTACAACAGATTATAAAAGTCAGAATATATAATAAACAGTAAATTACATCAATAATCAAAAGGAAATACAAGACGACTTTCAATCTAGGCCAAGGGCTAAACGCTTGCTTCGACCTACAGATGGAGATCAGGAGGAAAAAAGCGCATGCTTGCCGTCAACAAACCGGGCGAAGGCTTCGAGAACACTGCAATTTAGCTCGGCCAACGTCTCCTCTACTACTTNAGCGGTTGTTAAAGTTTCAGCGAGCAACTGAGAAAGTAGAAGAAGCTAAAAACTGAACTGAAACTCTTTATTCGCACTATTTCAAGAGGTTACAACAGATTATAAAAGTCAGAATATATAATAAACAGTAAATTACATCAATAATCAAAAGGAAATACAAGACGCCTTTCAATCTAGGCCAAGGGCTAAACGCTTGCTTCGACCTACAGATGGAGATCAGGAGGAAAAAAGCGCGTGCTTGCCCTCAACAAACTGGGCGAAGCTTCGAGAACACTGCAATTTAGGTCGGCCAACGTCTCCTACACTACTTGTACTTCTTCATTTGCCAGTCCGCTGCTAGCTGGAGCGAACCCGATTAGTTATGTTCGTGGCTTCTTATCACCGGTACAGGAAATCGGCCCGAATTATCGAGTGTTTCCGCACGTTGGTACAACGCAACAACAATAACAATAATATGACCACTTTCATCGGTAACATGGTCAAACACGAGCGGGAGTGCTTGATATCTTAACGATTTCCCGGATCCTGTAGGCAACTTAACAAAAACATCTTCTTTCTCAACTAAAACTTTTTTAATTGCCAGCCTCTGGTGAGCATTAAGCTCGAAAATTTTGAACTTTGACGACGCTATGCGAAAAGCTCCTTCAAGCACGCCATTTGTCTTGTGTTTTCCACATGAGGATCGCGATAGAAAACGATATCTGATTGGACGAGTCTTAAAAGGTGAGTCTGGCGCGAAAAGGTTCCTGAAAATGGAACCCGAGCTATGATTGGCCAATTCGGAGAAAGGAATGTAGTTCGGTTGGCAGCAGCCGTTCTTTTGGGGGAGCGTTGCGTGACATCCAAAAAAAACGGCTGCGAGAGAGACTAGTATCTAACTAGCACATGAATATTCATTTGAGATCAACTTAAGGGAAAGATTGAACCGAACCTAGACTTTGCTCTCGTATTCCTCCATTGAATAAAACTTACCATCTCTTGTCTGAATTCCAACCAACTACCAGCTTTACTTCAAAAATGATTGTATTCGAGTCGATCGATGTATAACCATAGTCTTGTCACGGTAGTTTCGCAGAAAAGTTCTAAGCTTGTTGTTGAGAGACTTTTCCCTTCATGTCCCTGTAATCGTTAAAAGGCTTTCCTTTAAAATTTTGGTCCTCACAGAAGAATTGTTGAACACCACTAAACGAGTTAGCGCGGTGGCGCTTGAATTAAATTGTGCCCAGATCACTCGTCGGTGTGAGATTGGTGTACTAAGGACCGATAGAAAATTAGGGGCTGGCCGTTACCGTTGGTCGAGGAACGCACCACTCGGGAACAGGAAGAAGTGTCAATACCTCTACCAATCATTTATATTTAATAAAGAAACTGAAATACAGTTACGGCGCAATTTCCTTCTTTAATTGTTCGAGTGCGTTCTGGCTGTTCCTTTCTTTCCTATTAACCAATGTTTGCAATAAATAGGTCGTGGCTGAAAATGACACGGCGTTTCGTATAGGAAAAGAGACTCATTAAATTTCTCTTAGAATAGTTTTCATCACTGAGCGTCTCGCTCAAACGGCGCTGTTTATGTATTCAAGATATCCGCGGTCTGACCCTCTGTAGTTAAAGGATTCCCGACTCTGTGTTCACAGATTACATTAATGCATAAAATAAAAAAAAAAAAATAATAAAAAAAGAAACAAACTTACTCTTTTACTCTGACGAATTCTGACTATAGCGAAGATGCTTCAAACCGGTGGCGAAACGCAATTTTGACCAAAACTTCTTTCACAGTGCGTTGATTTAAACACTTTCCAGATGTTTTTTCGTAATGGACTTTCTATTGCATTTTAGAACACCACCTGTATACTTTTGTTTTTTTTCTTTTTTCTTTTCTAAATTGGCGGCCCTATACACACCCTTCATCGCTAGTGACTTCTGGGAGGAAGCGTTTCATTTTTACTTATCAAGCTGACAAGAACTTCCACTGTACGTGTGCATAAAACAAGATATTCCAACAAGGGTTAAAGGAAAAGTTCCACAGACCCTTCAGCATGTCACTCGGGGAGTCAATCAAACGTCGTCTCTACGCTTTAAATGTTATTACGACTCAAGTTGCAAACTGAGTAATAATGTGCGATCCTTTCGTTGCAAGAATTTTTGCGTTATAAAAGAAGTTAAAAATCCCACTGCGCCGATAGAGCCGAGGGTCTTGACCACCTTTGTTCTTCCTCTGGGATTCGCCAATATAGGTCAACTCAGATATATTGAAATTAGGAAAACAGTAGTAGACAACGAAAATAAGAAGAAGAAGAACAAAAAAAAAGGCGCGTTAGAATTGTGCCTACCGAAAGGTGTGCAGAGCAGTTTTCAGAGACAAACTTAATATTCATTAAACAAGTGTTATTTGCCAGCTGATCTTTTGAGACTCGATATTGTCTGGGCACTTGACACGCAAAGATCCAATTCAAACGATAACGCTTTGAATAGAACTTTGGAGAAAACTTAGAAAAGAAAAAGTTATATTTTGAATACCTCTTTACATAAATAAAAAAAAACGCTGTTTTAATAAACTTAATTGCGTTTGTAAAAGCAGACGTCATGAACACGCAACCTATTAAAATGGTAAAGTGATATATTGTAGAAATGAAAATACAGGCCAGGTAACTATAACAAACAAAATAAATTTTCACGTCGCGAAGAAATTATTGCGAGAGCAATTCGCATTGATTGGCAACAACAATTAGGCACGTGCTGCGAATATTCCCTTGAATTCATGTAATTTTGACGCGAAGTTCGGATCTTAAGTTCTTCATAATTACCCAATGTCTTGGAGTGACGGTTTCTTTAAGTCAGCCTCAATGAAAAACCGTCTAATATATCAAACTACAGGTGGGAACTTCTGAAGAAATTTTGAAACAATACATTCCGCAAGACGTACATTTCTGACAGTCCATTCCTTTTTACACGGATAAACTTTATGAAAGGCTTTAGATGGCTTCAAATAATCAATTAAGAGAATCCAAAATAAAGAATAAAATTGCGTTAATCCACCGAAAGACGAAACGCTGTTTGAGAAATAGAAAAATCGCCCAGGTTTAAAAAGCGTGTAAGCTTCAAATTGTACCAAGTTTTATGCAACTTTATTTATTTCAGGAAGATGAATTACAACCGGCTTCGTTTCGTAAAATACAACAAATTTGTCGTCAAGGCCGAAAAATATCTCTTAATTGTTCTGTTTAATATACGAGTGGCTCTGTACGTGATGCAAATTATCTTTTTTGTGTTGTCGCGTGCCTACCGCCCACGTGTTTCACACGTGGTTTTGATAAAAACTGTTCGAAACAGGTGGACATAAGATTAATTACACGAATGCTCTTTTTGAATGAATCTCTGAAGGAAATGACTTTACGTAGTTCTTCATCGTCATCGTCACTTATTTCAAAATTTTATTATTTTAATGGCAAATGCACTTTGAATAATTTTTCCTTATAGTATATTACGCACTCTTTACCACGCTTGGCTCACGATTAAGTTGGTAAACCCAAATTTAATTGCACGTTTTATGATTTCCGTTCATACAATGACTCTTCGATCTGATCGATCGTCAGTTTAGAATGAAAATATTCGCCTGAGTAGGGAATTTCGTAAGCGCATTACCAACTCCATGAGTGTGCTCAGTTGTATCGGACAGCAGTCATAGATTAGGGACAGTCTATGATTGCATGTGCCTATTGCAGTAAAAAAGCGATGTAGTATACAAGGCAGAGGAGTTGATAAACAGTTCCCATGAGGTCAAACCTGGCTAGGGCAGAGTTTGTACACTGGTCAATTGACAGACCGGGAACGGGGTAGGAAATCAATAGAATAGGTTAAGGTATGTTATTAACTGTACTAAATTTATTTCAATACAAAACTTCGCCAATTCGTACGCTCCGCATACTTGGCGCTATGGACATACCCACTCCTCTCGAGTCCGAAGGTTCGAGCTCTGGCCTCGCTACATTTTCCTTTTCTTTTTTTTTTTTTTTTTTTTTTTTTTTTTTAATTTAAATTCTTCTTCAAAGAAGATGTTAGACATGTTCAGAGTAAACGCACATGTGCGAACGTTTGACGATGCAGCTGTTCCGTCAAATCGATAATAGTGTCGAAATGCAGATGTGGCCCTGAAAAAAAAAATTAACTAAATCCGAAAAAAACAAAAATGAATCTGAAGAAACCCGATCAGATTCGTTCAACAGTGCCAGAACCGAGCCAGTACGAGTCACAAGAGATGTTACGAGTGCCTTACGATGGTCCGCCATTTTGACGACCGCAAGCTTAAGGGGCTAGAGCGGGGAAGGTTTACGGACTTAACGGTACACCATAACATAGTGTCACGGCCTTTTTAGAAGGAAGGCACAATGGGCAAAAAAAGGGTAAATAAGCGCCGGAACCAACTAACGAAGTTGTATAATTCGTGCTGGTTTGAGCGACACTAAACGTATTCCGGATAACTGCCTATCATTTATTTCTTACGTACATTCACAGCTTTGTTCGAACATTATTGTGCACAGCCCCACTGCAAACGATCGCAGAGGATTAACTAATTACACTTTGGTGAGGCTGGTTTTATCAAATTGGCATTTTTTTCAAAGAAACCTTCTAACTTAAAGCTCTTGGACGCTGACACTCGGCCCCACTACGTAGAGATCTACTCGGCGGCGGAAAATATGATAGTGGTCCTTTTAGAAATTCAGCAGTGCTACTAGGCCATACGCAGCCGAAGCTTTAAGTGTTTAAAATACATGTACTTCTTTGTCATGATTTCAGTTTGGTTGTTGCTGTTGTTGTTGCACCAACAGCTAAGAGGTACACAGCGATAGCTCGAATATAGTGGCTTGCCGTTTGAATATAAATTTATAAAATGGTGGTTTTGATAATCTCTAATTTTTGCTTTGGGACTGCGATGTAAACGTTTAATGGGGTTAAACGGGTTCGTATGTAAAGATGTTCGCGTGTAAGTATCTGTTAATCCGTTCCTCTCGGGGTGAAGATAAATTGTCTTAATTCTACCATCATTTTCAGTGTTTTGCAGCGGTTGCGCAAAATGACGCCAGTAGTCTTTTCAGACTCCTCACAGCAGACGACCTCGCCATCAACCCATGAGGATATGCAAAGGCAAACAAGGTCCATATTGTCTAGTTCCTAAGATACGGTCTTCCTTTTTGTTCTGTACCTCGGTGGGAGCTGGTGAGACATGAGTTACGACTGCTATACAAATCGACCGTGAGGACCTGGGAGAACCCCCAAGAACTGAAGACTGCACGAGAGGCAGTTTTCATTTACGCTTTTCATGCCTCCGTGGTTTTTACGCGCTTCTCGCGCCACGCGAAGCTTGGGAGCTAACTGCCTGCTGCTAATTAAATCTGTGATGAGTACATATAGCTGGCGAATGTGCCCTCGGAGTACGTATACGACGCGGGCACAATTTATTTGCGTTGACAGCTGAAACTCTCACGGAGACTGATAATCAAACATTGAGTAACTGCCACCCCTCCCCCCCCACACACACGCACGCACGCACTCGCGCACACCCCTGCTTACGCTGAGCGGTTTTACTTTCCTTGACTCCTAGACCCTAGACCTCTAACGGCCGACATCAGTTCAACTGAAGCTTTCTTTGCTAAAACACATGTCACCCAGTCCAAAGCAGAGAAAAATTTCATTTCATATGCAAATTCAAAGAAGAGCAAGAGAGTGTTGCAGAGGCAGAATTGAAACAATGACGGATCATTGGTGTATGCGAATATTTTGCGCTTTTGAATGCAGACAACTTCAATTACATCAACTTTTTGTTACTGTCGTGCGCAGTTCTGCCGATCTAATCAATTTTTAACGGCGATTGTTGACTTTGTCACACTGAAATGATTCGCAAGAAATCCTTCATTTGGTGGCTGCTTAATCAATGCTCGTAGAAGACAGCTAAAAACAGTTAAGACGAGTTTTGTTAAAACCTTTGTGGTAAAACTTCTGCAAACTTATCACCGAGATACTAACAGTTTTCAACTATAAACAACCTTGGGCTAATTTGAAGCGCTTGTTGGAATGGGTGGCACGAGAGGAGAAAGACTACAACGTAAAACAATTCTAAAAAATACCTGGACCTCCAGGTTACAACATGGTAAAAGAAACCTAGAAAGTAGCAGCCAGATAAAGGAATAGCAAACATGTGTGAGACAAAAATGGTAGAAAATTCCCAACTGACGTAATTCGATTCAATTTTTGTTGCGTACCACGTATCCATTTTGTTAAATAACGTTTCCTAGATTTCGATTTCATTAGAAACATCTCGTTGCGTAAGTTAATTTTAAACAAAATTACGAGGGCTTTATATAGAAGCATGGTAAATGCATGCGAATGACGAAACTTCGTACATCTTGCTTATTACGAATGTCTTTAACATTTCGTGAAAATCCATGACTACAATTTTGAGGGATAACAAGGTACTTGTAAGTTACACAGTTGACGTTTTTTTTCCATTTTGTTGAAGTTTATCACAAGTGGGATATGGCCAGTTCTAATTGGAATAGGGCCATTGAATTTGTACACGATTACCAAAGCAGATACTCTTCATATGAAAAAAGAGAGCGACCAACTTCGATATTCCTGGCCAGTCGATCCCCAAGATCTTCGAGAAGCGGGTCAACAGGACACTTCCGAGTTTACGAGGCTAAGTTCGAAGTCACCCTCATCGATATAGAAAAGAAAGTGCAGTGGTACTGAAAATGAGCGAAAATTTCTCCAAATTCAACGTAGGAGAGTGAAAAATAATTTTTGAGAAAGAGGCATTCGGTGAGGTGATGGCGAAAAAGGAAAGAATGAACGCAGTACTGTTCGATTTATGCAAGAAAGCTGCAGCAATGAAGTAGATCAAACTAGCCTCTTCCGCAGCTTTCGACTCCTTTTTTTTCAATTTTGTCAGACGGAAACCTCAACCCACCCACGTTCGAAAAAAGAAACTCTTGCATGCGTATCATGCTTATGATTTATTGTTTCCCACGTTTATCATGACCGTCACTTGATTTCACTTTCAGTAAAATTAATGATCACAGAACCAATCTCACGTCGTGGGTAGATTATTTCCGCATAGCCTGCTAAGAATGTTTCTCCCACTACCGTAAATTAGCAACATCTCGTGTTTTATTTTTACAAAATCATGTGGTTTATTGTTTGCAAAGAACAACGAATATATATTTCTCCAAGCAACATTGTAAAGGTGTTAAACAATTTAAGTTTAAAGGTCCCGGCACGTCGTGGCTCAGAATGCTGATCAAAATCTGCGACAATGATCGAGAAAATTGGACTGCAAATTGGCAGGTTTAGCATTTTCTACTGTGTATCGACATCAGTCCCTTCACAATCATCGACCCTCGGGAGCATTGCTCTCCAGCATGCTCCGCCAGTCTTTTTGGGCTTCGTATTCCCCTTCGATGACGAGATGCTTGTATTGCTGTCCTGCAGTCTTATGACATCACTAGCATCTTGTTTCAGTACTTCCTCACCTTGAGGTACACTTTCGTTGATATCTTGGAACAAAGGCCCAGTTTCATTCGTATTGTGATCGATTGAGTTTTCATGGTCATCAGACACAATTTCATAAGCGTTATTAGCTGCACCCTGCGTGGTACAAGAAGAAGCACCTGCTTGGACACCTGATATTGATTGAGAATCTTTAGGCGTTTGGGACACCATATTCCGTAAAGAGGATCGGCGAGTGCTCGGTGTTGAACGAAATTCCCTGACGTTGCGGATTTCCTTTCCAGGTACATAATCGGATTCGTCTTCGTCATCGTCATCATCATCATCACCATCATCATCCTCTGAAGGCGAAGAATGAGAGTCCGAACTTAAGACAGTTTTTTTCTTTTTGGCTTCGCACTCTTGGTTGGAATATCGTTTAACTGGGGTAATTTTTCTTTTATTTTGACGTGTGCTACAAGGTCTCTTGTTGGCAGTGGACAATGACAACGACCGAGTCGACTCTTGAAGTGATAGCAACTGAGAGGCTGCAACGACCACTTCCTTGGACCCAGACGATTCCTTACTCGGCTGACTGGGTGGAACATTCTTCCTTATAGCAAATCCTTGCCCCAGTGAGCACATCTGTTGGCCCGGAGTCGAAAAAGACGCAGAAGAGGCCATTCTCACTGCAGCAAGGCCACGTTGTTTACGCCTATTGGTGACTGTTTTAGGTTTTGAGCTTTGGACTCCCCCTCTGGGTGGAGGATGCCTCTCAGCAAAAACAGGTCCAATTTGAGAAAAACGGTTAACCGGAATTCTCGAAAGGAGAGCTGGCCAACAGAACAAAGAGCTGAATCGCGAAGATAGCATTCTGTACTCGAAGGAATTACGATATGAAGTGTTATTTAAAGGAATGACCGGTGCCGCCTGTTGCCTATTGCTGTCAACAGGTCTGTTGGTCTCAACGTCAGTTGTGGATGATCTGTTTCCTTCTTCGTTAGCTGTCGCCGTTGACGGAACAATTCCGATTTGTAAAAGACTAGGATTTTCACTGGACAGCGATTCTTTCCTTTCACTGTGAATAAAGCGACTTTGCGCTGCCGCTGTTTCAGTACCTTCTAATGGCTCAGCCCCATGGCCAACAGATTTAGAAGATTCTTCATTTAATTGTGACACATTGTTTCTTTCTTTATCACTTGGATTTTCAAGCGATACCTCGTGATTGTTCGCGATTTCACTCCCCAAACTGTCTTCGTTATCATGAATTTTGTTCGCTGAATTACAAGGATTCGGCTGATTTACACCCCCAACCCCATTTCCACTGTCAGATGTCACTCCTGTCTCCTTGTTCCCATGACTATCGGATTTGCTCAATAAAGAAGACTGTCCTGAGGTTGATGAGACTGTTGTGCTAACCACGGGAACTATGTTCAGCATGGCAGCGATTTTCTGCAATTGAGGGCGAAGTAGCTGAAGGGATTTGTACGTTTTTAAGGTTGTGTAGCACGGGGGAAGAGGAGGAATCGCCGGTGCACGCCTACGCGTAGTCTGGCTTGCTAGGACAGCAGAACTGGCTGCAGGTGGTTTATTTACAGCCTCCACTCGATACGAACCTGAATGCGCATTTTCACTTGATTCGGATGCCTTGTTATTGGTCCTCGTATCTGGAATTTCTTTGCGAAGAGAGGATTCCATATCTGTATTTTTAGGTTCGAGTGTATCAATTGTTCCGCACTGTTTCTCCTTATTAATTCGTGATTCAGTTTCAGTAGTTTTTTCAGCATCTTCGTGATCATTTGCCTCTGTTGAGGTTTGTTTGTCTAACGTGGAGTTATGCAAGTCACTCTCGCACGACATGGGATTAAGAATTTCACTGTCCACGGTTTCCCTTTGAGCTTCCATTCTTTCAACACCACCGCACGATTGCCCCTCAGACTGTTCTTTAGTTGAATTAACTTCCTCACTCTTCACAGAAGCTCCGGTGTTAGAGCCAACACTGGTGACCGTCGATGATACTAAGGATGGAGTCGTGCTGGTCTGCTGAATAGCTTTTAGGACTGTGGCAATGTCGATACTGAACGCCTGGGAACGTAAAAGGAAATGTTAATATGTTATATTAACTATATTATCACGATATTACAGTTCCATAGCAACGTAGAAAAAATTGGCCTGCAAGCCAAACTGTCACAACCAAAAATATTACAGATGACTTTTTTCAAAGTGGTTTGATGTGATCACTATCTTGCGTCGTTTGAAACTTTAACAGTTTGACGCACTTTTCAACACTATAGGCATTTTCACCGTTATAAAATACGTGAGTAACAACTACAGCTCTTTTCATTGTGATGCACAGGCACATTCCTTTGGCTACCGTTGGTTTTCTTTATGCGTTAGGCAATAAGTGGTAGGAAAACCTATAACAAAGAAACCATGTGTTGAAGGTGTCCGCTGAGATTGACCCTTCTACTGCCATCATCTAATAAAAGCTATCAATTTCCGTCTCAATTAGTGACAAACATTGTTACAACACTCTTGATGGTTTAGTAAATTCTCATTATCAGTATACGAGACTACGCATGATTGTGTAAGGAGAAGTTTTAAGCTCATCATGTCTGGAAATAAAATTGAGCGTGAAAAGCGACGACGATTTGAGGCGACTGAATCAGAAAGAAGTCATTAGGACGCATTAAGGTTATCTTCAAATTCTGCACAGTTCTCCCTTTGTAACTTACGACCACCTTTTTCAATTTTTCCAAAAATGGTTTACTTGGACTTCTCAATAGTAAACCTAATCTGTTTATTTCTATTTCAATGTTTGCATACCTGCAGAAGGAGTGAGAAAGGCCCTAACGAGCCCGATACGGTCACCTGCTTCTCTCCGCTGCTGCTTCTCGTGTGACGTTGCTCTTTTTTGTCGGCAACTTGTTTCCGTTTGAACAGCTGTTTGTTATCCATAAGAACACGGTGATGACGCTGCTGAACTCTGTGTCTGTTTCCACCCTATAGAGAAGCGAAAAATATAACAAGAACAAAAAATGTGAGGGGTTACTGTTCATATTATTTAGCCTTCCACCAATGTGTGGAAAATATGAAGAACAGGACACAAGTCTCCTAGAAGGTGATCACGCAACGTTCTTCTGGAGAAAACATAAAGAGTGACGACTTCCCGAACAGGTAAGAGGCTTAGATCGGCTAAGCCTTACGATCCTGATGGCTTGTTACTGCCGCAGCCAATCTTGGGTTTCTGTAATATGACACGACTCGGAGCATTGGTATTCCTCTTGGGAGTTAAATGTCAATCCTCCCCTCCCCAGGTTTCCCCAACAGCTGCCGCCAACCATACTCCAGTCCTTCTRAA